AAGTGCATCGCTAGTAGTAACAAGTGCCTTACTAGTAGTAACAAGAACCAGAAAAGCAAACCGAAGTCCCGGATCACAGGAAGTGTTTTGATAGTAGAAGTCTATAGCTGCTACAGGTTTGCTGGCTTTGGTTTCGTATAGTGATCTGGGGCCACGCGGGGGCCGCCTATATACGACAGACCCAATAGATATACTTATTATATACTTACTGTATCTGGCCAAAGCAGCCAGACAACGCTGAAATTTGGAAAAAATCAATGTCGGCCAATTGTCGGCCCAATGTCGGCCAGTGATTCGAGAATGCTATACTTTATATACACTATCTAATAAACCCTTTCATGGGGACATGTCGGCCAATGAAATGGTATGTTGGCCAAGTGTCGGCCAATAGATATGTGAGAGTTGTTTTTTTCACAGTTTCTTGGCTCCAGTGCTGTATATATTTGCACCTGTTTTCACTTGCCGCAGCGCTTGTGTAGTCGTCGCCCGAGTTTGGCAGTCTGTACAGTTTGCGTTCCATGTGCGCTGGCCGCATTCTTTTCCAGATGCCGAAGGGCAATTGGACACTCACATATAAGTGCAAAGAAAAACAGCTGCGTTTGCTGCTTTGTTTGCGCGCCACAAAACACACAACAATGCATGCCTCAAGCGACATTTCTGCTGCGTAAAAGGTTGTTTCTGCACACGCAACCGAGTTAGCGCGTAGATAGATATATACAATTTAACACAACATAGCACTTACATAGCATTGAGATACAGTTATGATATATGTTTGCTACAAGTGGCCTATGTTCACTATATCTTGGCTATAAGTGATTCCGACCTATTAGTAATTGGGTTGGAGGCCATCCAGGAGGAAGCCATCGCTAGTAGGTGGGAGGCCATCGCTAGTAGGTGGGAGGCCACCGCTTCTAGGTTCGAGGCCATCGCTAGTAGGTTGGAGGCCATTGCTAGGAGGTTGGAGGCCATCGCTTCTAGGTTGGAGGCCATCGCTGGTAGGTTGGAGGCCATTGCTAGGAGGTTGGAGGCCATCGATTCTAGGCTGGAGGCCATTGCTAGTAGGTTGGAGGCCATCACTTCTAAGTTGGAAACTATTAGGTTTGAGGCGATCAACACTCCGACTGAGTGCGCATCTCTAAGGTTCAATCCAGATGCCATTTCGAACTTGCTTTCCAAACTGACGCTGGACACTGTTCGAGTGCGCCGATCGATTCCACACAAACCAAAAATCATTGCGTCCAACTGAAGCTGACCTAGGTTCAGTTTCAGGCGAAAGTGCTGGCAGATCGTTGTACGGAGAAGGACACTTCTTACAGTTTCTGCGCACAGAAGGAGAATTGCTGGATGGAAGTTGTTGCACTGACTGAGAAAGGAAGTCCTGATTGCTCATCAGTTGATCCACTCGTGATTGCTCAGGTTCGCCAATGGCACTACTCCAGATTGAACCTGGCTGGCTGGCTCCTGACTCAATGAAACAAGTTGCAAGAACGCTGGGGTCTAGTGTTTTGGGCTGCAAACAGAGGAGTCTTGGGCCAATGTTCTCAAAGCTGGCGGTTCGCTGGAGGTGCTTTTCAGTTTCTTTTTTTTTTTTTTCTGTTTTCACCTCCTGTTCTGATTTGCAGCTCTTCAGAGTTCAGTGCGTATTTTGGATTTTGGGGGACTTTCCCAGAAGAGATGAATGGCCGTTTCGGGCTCGCATGTCCATGCTAGTGGGCTTAACAGCAGAACAGAACGCCTGCGTGCCCTTTGTTTATTTTTGCTTTAGACATTTTCAATTTAATGATGGTGTTACTATTTGTATCTATATTTGTTTATTTAGTAGTTGCGTTTATTTAGTTAACATGAGTAAACATGTTTAAACTTTTTTAAAAAACAGTTTTGCCTGAGTATTCTTGCATGTTTGCTCATATTCGATATTCCATGGAGATCCATGGAACTCAATGCGCTTCGTGATGTCACTTCAAGGAGTCGAGGGACATTACCAGCAAAATGGGCCTGCATTTGCCACCGTGCCGGGCTTGACATCTTTCGACGAACGTCCTTTCTCCTAGTAGCGATGCCCTTTGTTACTAGTTGCTTCTTGTTACTAGTACAGGAGCTACTAGTAGCGTCCTTGCCCCTAGTATTCACTTTCAAAGAGAATTTAGTAGCGAGCAGAATCTCCAAGGCCCAACCCGTTCATTCCGGAGGCGAGGCGACTGCAATGAGTCATAGACTGCCGCCTGACTGCGTGATACTGCGTGTGGGTCAGGACTTGAGCTTGAAGCCGCCTTCTGAGAAACAGGACGGCGCTGGACAGGGCCGGACAGGGCTGGAGAGGAAGCTTCTTTTTTAAAGGTCGCTTCGCCCCCTTACTACTTAATCAATCTTAATCACGTAGGCGCCTACTTAATTCAGAATTAATTCAGGACGCAGGATAGCTCGTGCTTCTTCAAGGAAGCTTTTCTCGCCTGAGGGCAGGAGCTTCCCTGAAGAAGCGCTCGCATTGTTCATTTTGTTCCTAGACTTGGGACAGATGCTTTGACTCCTCCGCAAGGCTGTCCCAGTCCTCCTGAAAGGCACCGAGCCTCCGGTGGCTGGCATCTTCCACCGACAAGACGACCTTTTTCAGCAACCGAAGGCCAAACAGGACGTTTTCTCAGACAAACTGCAAGTGTTTTAGTTTTTTTCGTTGTGACACAGTGTTGCGTTTGCATGGCGTTTTCTGGCAGGCGCAGGTCACATTCTTCATCTACTCTCCATATTTCACGAAGGCTCATTTGCAGCAATACTTAATACTTGGACAGATTGCTTGGATGCTCCCAACATGGCGAGGATGTTGCTAGCTACATGAAGACAGCAATCTGGTCCCTGTGCGTGGAGGAGGCAGATTTGTAGAACGTAAGAGAGGGTTCTTGGAAGCTTCACTGAACGATTGTTGCGTTGTTCGTTTATCGTTACTCATGGTACTAGCATGTACTAGCTTACTAGCGAGAGCCCACGTTCGGTTCAGATCCACTTCATCACTCCCTCGTCACTGCAGGCCTTGCAAGACTTCGCCTATGATGCCGAGATTGCAGGAGTTGGATATGCGCCTATCTGACATGGCTTTAGACACCAGACCAGACCTCCTCGGTTGAGTCTGAATGAAACACAGTGGACACACTTTGCACTCCCTAGAGGCCCTAGAGCCATTCAAGGGCCTTGTCAAACGATTGTGGAGGGCGAAACTCGGAACTCCACGCTTGTTCATACAATTTTATGTCAGGCTGAAGGTGTCTGGCGGGAGCCTACGTCTTGCGCGGCCCTTATGTGAGAGCACGCACTTGACTTGGATGCTTTCTTTGGCTCCAACTGCCAGGCCTGTTGTGACGGATTTCAAGTGTCAGTGAATCATCTCACAACAAGGTCCTTTCTGGTTTCAACGACAAGCTCCATGTCCTCCTCGAGGACTGAAGTACTGAAGTGGATGCAACAGCTTCAGATTCAACGAAAATGTTTGCTCACGATATCGAGTTAACTTTGGAACTCTCCTAGCCTTTGTGGGATCCAAGACTTGAAACACATTCTCATTAAATGCATTAAAAAGAAATATATGTATATTATCCGAAGCGTAAAGGCCGGTGTTCTTGTGACTGCAAGTAATGAGGGGTGCATGCGCTCTTGTACGATGAAAACATATTGGAACAGATCTCAAGTGCCTTAAATGGCCTGAGACTTGCCATAGGCGGTGACAGAAAAGATGATCTCAATGACCGCTGTGCCGGAGCATATCTTTGCAATTGTCATGGACGCTGCGGGAGACGATCTCCGCAATCAGGTGAGATCAAAATGAGATCGAAATGAGTCGGAATAAGATGAAAGGACCTGAAAGGAGGAATGACTCAGGCTTTTGCTTTGATTTGTTTGAAATAGGTGGGAAGGCGGGTAGCTAGATAGTCTTAGGGAAATGGTATGGACGCGGCCGGTAGAGGGGAATGGTAGATGGACATATGTAGCCGCACGAAGATTCAATTGGTTCCTAGATGGATGAAAACGAAACTTCGCAGAGCACGCGAAAAGCCATTTGTTGAAAAGCCAACATACCGAGGCAGAGCACGCTCAGCCGATCCAACAAGCAATTCATCGTTTTGATGATCTTCTATATCAAGGAAGGTCCTTTCCAGCTTCTCATCTTGATGGACCCAATGGACATCCAATGGACACAAAGCTTTGGTTTGTCTTTGGTGTTTGTTCCGGTTCCCATTGGCAGCTGAAAGCGAGCCCCGAAAGCGTCCCCGACGTCCCCAAGAATGACATTAAGGTCTTGGAGAAACTGAAAGCTTGGGAGAAGATCCAACGGGAGGATCTCAGCAATCTTTGTGCTCGTTTTTTTGCTGACGGAGCTCATGTGGAGGCGGTTTTGTTTGTTTGCAAGATGGAGAGGAGCACGCATTCAGGCAAAGCACTCCAGACAAAAGCTAAGATATGTGTTGATTGAACATGATTGAACATTGAGTAATTAGTGCAATGCCCTTAGTGGACTCCAAGTACATCGGCGGAGCACAGATTCTGAACAGGCTAGGAAGCGCATCTCGCTTTTCGACTCTTCTCTCAGAGCCTGTTGTTCCAAATCATGCTAGAAGCGATGCACTTGTTTCTACTAGCGATGCACTTGTTTCTCCTAGCGTCCTTGTTCCTACTAGTAAGGCACTTGTTGTCCCAGGCCTTAATTCTGGGGAACCTGACAGCTGAAGATGCCAAGCAGTTGTCTGCAAAGCTTGTGACGGCCGGATGAGATTCGAGTTCGCAAGCTTAATTTGCTTCATGCTGGTGCTGCTAGTGGCTAACGCGTTTATCGGTAACGGGGGCAAAGCTGAGATTCAGTTGGATTTAACGTGTTGCAGGGGCTGCAGCTTTCAAAGCCATTGCAAAGCTTGCCCTATCGTGCAGAAGCTTCACTTCCAGAAGGTTCCACTTTGTGGGAGCTGGACAGTATGGATGTAGACGACCCGAATCACGCTGTGTTGCTAAAACTGCAGCTGCCTATTGGCCTAGAAGATGAGATGCTTGCGATGCTGCTCGACAAGGTGCTCTCTGCCAAGTTTTTTGAAATCCTCCGAACACAACAGCAGCTTGGATATATTGTGCAGATGGCAGCCTCAGTGCCGCTGAAGTCCCCCATGATAGTAGCCCTGGTGCAGACGGAGTTTCTGCCAGACTATGTCAGAGGCTGCATTGGAAAGTTCATGGAGGAACATTTTCACTTTGTGGAGGAATCCTTAGGTGCAGAGGAGTTTGAGGTTTGCAAGAGCGGACTCATCTCCCAGCTTCGAATGAAGCCAAAGAACCTCAGGGAGGAGGCCTGGATTTGCACGGACTTCCCATAAAGCAGCTGGTGTATACCGTGAACACTTCTCAAACTGTACGGTGCCCTGTAAAGCATCAACACAAGTGAAGAGTGCCTGTCTGACCAGGCCGCACGCTTCACTTCACAGCTGCACGATCGCACCTTTGATTTTGGACGAAGGGAAAGAGGTGCCCAATTCGCGGAGACAGTGACACTGGCCTCCTTCAAGCGCTACATCCGGGAGACAGTGAGGAAAGCACCGCAACTCTACGTCCAAATCAAGATGCAAAGCCGCACTGGGAACACTAGGAAAGGAGTATCAAAACGAGGCCACCCGTCAAGGAACTTGACCATACCACATGTGTTCCGAGTCTCAAGTGCTTTGGAGTGTTGAAACTCGAGCCAATGAGGAAAGTCCTGGACAAAGAAGACAAGCCACTGCCATCGAACCCGAATAGCTTCCCAGATCCAGAGGGGCTGAGGCGCTTTTGACACAACGCACAGCTTTATGCAAAGCACATGATGGAAGTGGGTATGTGTAAGCATGGCTCAAAAAAGGGGATGCCAACTTGCACAAGGAAATGGGCCACCGGTCTTCTTTCTTGAGCCAGAACCAAATGATAGAAGACAGTGTCTAATGCCTCAATGAAATAGGCGGTGGACCACGTACATGGAAACAGTTCGGATCTGAGCAGGAGGAGACGTTCAAATACCGGTCAAGTTGGGAGACAGCAAGTATTTGTTGGGGTAAAGGCCTTGGAAAATGCCTTGCTGTAGCATTGCTCAATTGCTCTCCAAGGTGGCTTCCTTTGGGGCTTCTGCGAAGTGGGTTCCTGTGAATTCCGCTGTTGATGCCCCTGCGAAGCTGTGAAAAATACCTGAAAAAATTGCTCCCCCTATAGACATGGCCTTGTATGCGTATGCAAAGCTCCATATCACTGACTCTGGCAATCTGTGAGCCGTTTTGGGTCCTCTTTCGATCGTCCAACCTGTTTTTAGCTTTGGCTCTATCGCAAAACATAGAGGCTTGCAGCTTACAATGCAAATGCTGCTTAGACTTGACCTTAGAGACTGTTCTTTCAGCCTTGAAGCAGAGATGTCAGCACATGTGAAGGCGTTTTCTTAAGCTTGTTCATGGCATGAAATTCATGGCTTTAATGCTTGGCCACTATGACATTCTATAAGGATAAGGAACACCCCACTCCTTATTCTCCTCAGGCGTGCCATGTACACAGCATGGCTCGTGTTTGCTGTGGCGATTCCAGTGCGTAGCAATATATGCGATTCCTCCGCCGATAACGTATGTATGATTAATGCCCCTTGGAACAGCCAACACGCTCTTAGTCCTGTCGCCCCTGCACACAAGTTCTTTGAGTGTTTGCAACTCGAGCCTCAGGTATCTAAACATGTGGCTGGCCCTGACAGAAGCCTATCCTACGCTGGCAAAGTGCTGATAACCAAAGGCTGCAATATTGTTTCTGATGATTGGTTTCGTATCGATGCAACTGGTGATGTGACAGTGGAGAACGGGTCAACAATACATGCAAAAGGACCTTTGAAAGGGCAACCGTGATTAATTGCCAGCAAAAGAGGTTGGTGCAGGAAGAGCAAGAGTGAAAGAGCACGTGCAGCAAGAGTGCATGTAGAAGCTTTATGCTTCCAAACATCCGGTGGATGGTTTCTTGACCTGAGCCCTTCAGGAGACTTGGTGATTAACGCAAGTGGCATCCATATTCGCAACTCCAACTTGACTTCCTCACTGAGCCGACTTGAGCTGCTAAGCTCCGCGAGCTCTGCCTATGCAAATTCTACATTCTCCTCGGCTACATCACGTGTTTCATTGGATCAGCTGCAGGATTGTTTTTGTCTTTGTGCTATTTTGTACTTCTATTTTTCTCTTGTACTTCTCTTTTTCGTTGTTGTCCCCCTTGCTTGAGTTCTCCGTCTCAGAAGGCTTCTCTGAATCGTCTGAATGTCAGGACAGCAACAATACCATGGGCATCGTCATAGCAGACTCATGCCTCAAAGGCCAGTGTGAAAAAAACGCGGAAGAAACAATGTTCTTTGAGATACTAAAAGCGATGGCCTCCAACCTAAAAGCAATGGCTTCGAACCTAATTAAGAGCGATGTCCTCCAACCTAATAACGATGGTCTCCACCCGCCCTAGTAGCAATGGCCTCACATTTGTAAAGAAACATTTTTTTGACTGCGTGACTTTGTGGATTTTGGAAAGAAGTCTTGCTCTGAGGTAGCTGGATGAATATGACTTGCAACAAGAGTGGGGTCAACTTGGAGGGAAGTGCAGCTCTTTCGACGGATGCTAGACAGCTGCTGCAGATCAGAGCTTCAACAGTGGAAGTATCTCGACACATTCTAAGTCCTAATATGACATTGGCGGCTCTTGTAGTTCTTGTTGTATTTTCTTTGAGGGAGATGTTCCACTTTTTTGCAGTAGGTTTGATTCAAGGTTCAATCATTCCTGCACATGCAGAGAAGTTGCAAGATGCATTGGCTTGAGAGATCTTAAGAATGTCAATGACAAGAACCTTTCATTCGTGTTCTGGCCAGGCTGGCAGCAAATCGACACTGACAGCAGGCATCATTAGCATATCCACCGAGAGCTCTTTGCAGCTGGAAGCACGAATTCTCGTCGGCTTTGCCACCAAGCAGACGCCATCAGAACCTCCAGAATTGCAACTCACCACGCAAGGTGCCTTGGTTGAGTAGCATTTGTATGAGGCAAAGTCAAAGTCGTTCAGGCAACGGATGCGCTGCACATGGTTGAGGCTGAATCTGAGGTATTTTGTGGAATGTTCCTGTAAGCATATTGGACTGTTACCACAGACAATGATTTCAGATGCATGGTCTGTGGCAGAGCTGTTTCTTTCTGTTCTGCTGAGGATCGATGACTCTTGGCAGTAGTCAATACCAGTGGATCCTTTCCGGTGGCCTAGATGCAAGTGGCCCCACTGGGTAAAGCGTATTTGCTAACTGAGCATCGATGCTGCATGAATTGAAGGAATGGATTAAGTCGCGCACAATCACTTTGTAGCTAAGGACTTACTGCTTCCGCACAGAACCTGGAAATTACTGCAAGCAGTTCTGTGAGCATCCAGCACGACACCACTTGCCACAACAACGGCGTAACAGCTGAACAATCAAGTTTTTCCTGTGAAGTTCGACAACCACTATACCTAGACTCGACTCATGTTTTTTTCTATTACTTTAAACTTTGCTTTATTTTGATTGTGTGTCTCTAGTTCGACCTTGGCATTCCAGGAACCAAAGTGGCTGATCGGTGTCAAGGAGTTTTAGGCTCCTGGGCCACTACAACTGGTGCGTGGCCACCTAGCGCGGATGGCGATGTGTCCTTTAACCTTGTTTCTTGGCAGATACCTACTATTTTTCAGCTCGAGAAAAACAGAAAACAACATGGTTGACCAGGTTGGCGAGGTTAGGCATTCCTTTACGAAGAGTGAGGATCGATAGGGAAAGCTTGCCTTTTGCCTTACACCAACCGGGACACCGGGGTGAATTATTTTGCAACCTGCCCCTTGTTGAGTGCAGTTGGTGCAGAGTGACTTACACCTAATTCAAGACATGTCTTGTGGCTGGGGCCATGCCTTGGGAGCAGTGTGCAGATACGCAGGTAGTTGGATTGGGCTTATCTCAAATGTAGCATTGTAGCATTGGGCTTAGGCAGGTTTTGCTGTGTTTTGGTTCCATCAAAATCGAGCCGTGGTTACTTTTTGTCACCCTGTCTAGCCGTAAGACAAAGCCGGAAAGAAGAATACCGTGACTATAATTTCTGGGGTGTGGCACAAGGAGAAGCGGGAGTTGCTTCTTTGAATCACGTGTTTTTTGGGCAAACGACGAGGTGCTGCTGGCGCGGGAATCTTTGACGATTGCACAAGCGGCCCGTTTACAAGCAGCATCAGCCTTTCTATGCAGCAACCAGATGAACGTGGATGACCAGAGTGTGATTGATGTGTCGGGCGGTGGCTGCTCAGCCTCCTCGAGATATTCACAACAACCTGCCGGTGGTATTTCGGTTCCTGGCCCTGCCAAAGGAGGACCTTGGTTGGCAGGTGGGTGTCCAAAAGTTTGTATGACATCTCAATGTTTGTTTTGCGCTTGGACTGACCGAAGTTGCGTTTGATTCAACGTGATCCATTTTAAATGTTCCGAGTTGCGGGTTGCTCTGTCTAGAGGCGGAGGAACCCACTTGGGTCGAGGCGGATTTGCATGGTGGTTTGATGGGCAAAGTGTTCACGTCAATGAGTCTACGGTCAACACGTCTGAGTACGATCGATACAGTCAGACTCTGGAGACGCGGAACATGTTGCCTACTCGAGGAGCTTCGGGCGGCGCAACCGGCTTGTCCTACCTTGGCCAAATCAGTCCACCAAGCACAGTTTCAAATGCAGTTTCTGCAGGCGGTGGACTGATTTGGCTTTCGGCCCAAGCCATTACATTTGGCAAGGCTGTTCGCTTGGACGCTGCTGGAAGTGATGGGACGGCTGGCAGTGACAAAAAGCTCAGCTTTGCATCAGCTGGTGGATCTGGTGGACAGATTTTGATTTTTGTAGGCAGCTTGCAGACACCAGCAGCTCAAGCAGACCAGCCCACAATAACGGCCACAGGTGGAAAGGGTGCATGTATCCAACAAGCCAAGATATGGGTGGTCAGTGGGGCAGGTGGTGGTGGTGCTATTGGGATGAACTGGTCTACTCCAACTTCGACTGTTGGATTGAAGCATGATGTTGAAGGTGGCAAGCTGGATCTCGACTCCAAGGGGTCAAGTTGCAACTTGATTCCAACGAAGGAGCTTTTGGATTCGACCTACGGGCAACAAGGTCAGGCTTTCTCCGTTGCAGGATGCCCAAAAGGACATTGGGGGCTTTTGTGTAGCATTTGTCCTGAAAGCCAATGGAGTGATGATGGCTTAATGTGCCATCCGTGCACCAACAAACCCGCAAAGGGTACGTATTCAACAAAGGGCTGGTACACGCCCATTTGCCCGTACACGTGTGGAGTAGGAGTGCCAAATGTTGGCAGCAATCCAAACTGCTTGGACGGAATAGAGTATGCACTGTCCTTCTTCGGCGGCTGGAAGGGTTTTTTGGCTATCGCGCTGGCCATCTTCATCACAGCACTGCTGCTCTTGTGGCGGAGGAGAAAGTCTGAAGTATTGGGAAGGCCTCTCCTTGATGACGTGCTCCTTGGCCTCCTTGGCAAGAGTTGTCCTTGTACAATCTTCTAAAGAAAGAGAGAGAGAGAGAGGAAGATGTTTGGTCCTTTAATAAGGCCCTCCTTTAAGGGGACCTTCTTAAGGGTCCCAAAACCTTCTTCTTTTCCTATATTTGCTGATATACCGTAGTATACACCTGTCAATTTGATCATTGACCATTGGATCATTGAACTTCTTCGAGCCTTGAAGTCTTCAACTTGCAATCCAAATGCCGGAAGAGAGTCACCCCAGTATCCGTGACAAAAATAAGGAGCCATGCTACGCCATGCTACAGCTGACATCGCAGGGTCAGGTTTGTTGGAGAATTCTGTCCAAAGGTGGTGGATTCATGGAGTGCCGATTTCATGCATCCTGTCATCCTGTCATCAAATCTACCATGAATATCATAGAATCGATAGAATATCATAGAATCATAGAGAGAGAGAGAGAGAGAGTTCATGAATTCTGCTGCCATACTCAGGCGATCCTCGAGATCCTCAATACGGCAGGAAGGGAGCCAAGCACCAGTCAAGTGCTTTAGCCGAGTATGTGGACCCCGGAGGGAGCGAGCAGACGCAAAAAAGTATGAGATCCCCAGAGAGAATTTACCTTTCCATGTTTGCAGAGTGTACCTTCAAGGCGAGAACACCTCTGAAGCACCTTGGTGGTTGACTCCAAGTGTCCCACCATCGCTTCAAGAATTTGTTCTAGAGCAAAGGTGGCATCAATTGTCTCAGGCTTTGAACAAAGCGGCGGAAGTCGGAAAGATGTCTGCAAGAGTTGAAGCTGTTCTGAAGCGCCTCTTTCCACCACTAGCTCCATTGTTTGCCCGGTGTCAAAGGCATTGCAGAGCTCAGGCCATTATCGACGTGCTAAATACTGAGTCTCTCTCTGTTGGGACCGATCGACTTTGGAAGTGGATGCGTGAGCCCGGGAATGACTTTCTGTTGCGATTTGGCTGCGACCGCAAGGCAAGCCTGGCACATTTAGACTTCCTGGACTTCGCAAAATCTCGTTTGGATTGGGCTCCCGTAAACTTGCTCAAAGAAGCATGGCTGATCCCCGTCCACGGTCAAGGAACCTTCGTTGAACCCTTTGAAGTCGATATCAGCGATCCCGTGCTTCAGCTTTTGGAGCACACAGATTTCGGTCCGACAGCTGTTCTCTCGGTCATCTCAACCTTCAACCGGGCTGCGCGGATAATCTCCAAGGACTGATGTAGTCAAATGGAAGACGCGAGACGCTCCAAGACGCTTGCAATCTTTGATCTCTGTGTGTGTAACTCTGGGAATCTTAGGGGGCCGTTTGGCTTTTTGTTTGTTTTTAAGAACGCAGGGGCACGCGGCATCCATGATGTACCGATACGTGCCGTGTGCAACGAAGCTAACGGTTGTGGATGGGAGGGGAAGGCCGATCACCTTCCTGTACCTGGTTTTGTGAGCGTTGTAACTACCTTCCACTCGTAGGTTTTCAGGCTGTTGCAGAATGACTCAGGTCTGCAGACATGCATGCGCCGCTCGATCTTGACGTTTTGGTATTAGGTGCCTTTCGAAACTTTTGGAGTTTTTGATTCTTGGAACTATTTTCCATGCTTGGACGCCTTCACCCAAGCGGTTGGGCATGTGGCAACTCAGACTGTACGTGCTTTATCTCGAGTGTGTGTCACACCCTGTCTCGAAGGGTTAACTCTTGAACTACAAGCAGGGGGTGGAGACACCTGTATTGCTTCTCCACCAACGAAGCTGGCAGTTGTGGACGCAGAACTGACGTACCTGCTCTTTGTGGTGGTGTTCTCAAGCTGTGACTCTCCTCCTCTCCTCGTAAAGCTCTAGTGAGTCTCTTTTCAAACATTCTGTTTTGGCCAACCCAGCACTTCTTACCGTTGCATCAGCCAAAGTCTATTGCAGTAAACTCAAGTGCTACTGCAACCGGATTCAGTCAATGAATGCTCGACCATTTGAGCTTAATATCTAAGTGTGTCCAGCGACATCCTCCCACGGTGGTGTGCCGTGTGATCCCTGAGGGGCGCTGACTTGACTCCTTTTCGAAAAGGTGATCCTAATTGAACGAATCGTTCTGCAGCCGGAACCTGCTTCGGATCAAGCGTTTTTGCACGAGAATGCTGAAATTCTACTGTCGAGCTCACGGGAAGAATATCCAGAGTTGCATAGGACCACATCTCTTGAGTAGTTCATGCCCGCTTCTGAGTAGTTTATGCATCGGTTCCCGTTTTAAGCCGCTTGTTCTCCTTCTTGTGCTTTCTCTTTCTACTTGTAGATGTTCGTTCTTTGCTTTAGGTGTAACTGAGGACTTTTCAGTCAAGAGTGCGCCGGATTCGGCTTTATGACCAAGTGTCTTTCACATACACACTTTGAAAAGGGCTCGCAAGAGCTGTATCAGTTTCGAAGTTTGACTACCTAGCGCTCTAGTTACTGAATACTTAGCCGTTGACTTGAGGGAACGGCAAGAAATGCTGGGTCCGATCAACAGAAGGTTTCAACAAAAACTAGTCACTGACTACTTGGCGGTTCTTAATTAGGCGCAATAGTTAGGTAGCGGGACTTTAGTCTTAATTAAACTAGAACAGGGACAACAGAAGGAAAGGCGCCGACGCACAAGTGTGTCGAGTACCATTTCCTTCTGTTGCCCTAATTAGATTAGCAGGTACGTTTGCAGTGAGAGGGATGGCCCCCTGCTCTGTACACGTACTAAAAAGTTCCTTAGAGACAGGAGTTGACGTGCGCAGAAAGGCGAGTCAGCGCACTCTCTTTTTGCTCTGCGGGAGGGGGGAAGGTGTGCGTTCACTAAACGAGCCTAAAAGCCAACCCAACAAGCCTGGAGGAAGGGCAAGAAAGAAAAGAAAAGGTGTAGGGGGTGTGGGGTGGGGGGGGGTTGTTGAAATATTGCTTTGCGGGCCATAGGCACAGGCCTAAAGGCGCTGGCCGAGAAGCCGAAATCGGCGCTCCCTTGACTAAAAGGCATCAGTTACATCTAAAAAGCATTTGAAAGAACCGAAACGTGAATACTTAGCCGAGTGCCTATGAATATTTAGCAGCGTGACATGACATTCTGTGGTGGTACTCAGTGGGCCCTGCGGCATTCGATCAGCATTCTCGTGCAAACCGCTGAATCAGTGGTATTCGAGGAGTAACGGAATGTTCAGTGAAGGGTCACCCTTAAGGGCATGTGCAAAAAACCGCGCCCCTCGGTGGGGATCGCACCACAGCCCTCAGTGGGACCCTGTGGCGAGACACACTTTGAAAAGGGCTCGCAAGAGCTGTATCAGTTTCGAAGTTCCAGAAGTTAGTTACTGACTACCCAGCACTCTAGTTACTGAATACTTAGCCGTTGACTTGAGGGAACGGCAAGAAATGCTGGGTCCGAACAACAGAAGGTTTCAACAAAAACTAGTCACTGACTACTTGGCGGTTCTTAATTAGGCGCAATAGTTAGGTAGCGGGACTTTAGTCTTAATTAAACTAGAACAGGGACAACAGAAGGAAAGGCGCCGACGCACAAGTGTGTCGAGTACCATTTCCTTCTGTTGCCCTAATTAGATTAGCAGGTACGTTTGCAGTGAGAGGGATGGCCCCCTGCTCTGTACATGCATTAAAAAATTCCTTAGAGACAGGAGTTGAAGCGCGAACTTAGATCAAGGCTCGCAAGAGCGGTAGCAGTTCTGATCTCCCAGTGAAGCTAGCACTTTACGCTTACTGCAGATCAGACCTTGGCTGGTGAACTGCATGGTC